CGATCACTTCGTCTGCCCTCTTCTAACCCAAGTGGACATGTATTGCTTCACTTCACTGCTACGTCTCCACTCACTATTTCACACTAAGAATGTTCCCAGTATTCCACTTAACTTTACAAATAATTTTAATGGACATGTTATGAATTTTCCATTTAAAATTTGAGGAACCTGATTAGAAATGTATTCATTGTATCTTTTTAGGGCGATTAATTCCATACAAGCCTTTAGCCTTAGGTGACTGCATAGGAACAAACGAGAAAGGGAAATAGAAGTTCTACGTCTCCAGACTAATTGATTAGTGATTTAAAAATTGAACTAAGCATTAACTTAGAAGACGCATTGTCTATATAAATTATTTCTGTGTAGCTTTATATTGCCAGGTTAAGTAAATAAATCCTTTCTCCTTGATTATAGCCATTAGTAAATGAAAAGATGTTTGCATTCATTGTCATATATTTACACTAGGGAATCTACACCAGCAAATGGATTTCCTTTGTTAGAAACTTTCATAAAGTCAGATGTTTGTTTTTATTAAAAGAAGTAAACCTTATCAGTGGAAAGCAAAAACTCATTAGTTGCCTAATTGATTGTTTAGGTGGATAAACTTTCTAGGGATTTTTTGGAGATTTTCCTTAAAGAAAAAAAATGTGAAAAGTAGTTTTAATTTATGAATCTCTACAGTGTATGAGATCACATTGGGATTAAAAGCAGTGCTCTTTTTCCTTTAGAAATGTAAAAGACGGAAAATATAGAATCTCTTTCACATTGCTTCATGTAATAATAAAATAAAACTCAAGAAGCATAGCAAAGAAACCAATTTTTACTGTGAATGACCAACCCATTTATGAAGGAATGCAATGCAATCAAATATACACAGAAAATGTACACTAAAATAGTAGTTTCTTATCTATCTTCTCTCTATTCGGATTCATTATTTCCGGCTACCATTAGTTATTGTGAATTATCCTTTATCATTAGATTATGCACACTCGCACAAAGATATTGCCTTGCTGCTCTTTTTTCCATTTTAAATATATTGTGGAACTGTGATTCAGAAATAAAAGCATAAAAATAGTTTACATGTTCCCTTAAAGACATATACATTTCTATTGCATCCTTATCAAGTCTGTTCTAGGACAAAACAATTCTAAGGTTATTAGCATTTTCCATCATTGCAAGTGCTATGCGTCTAAGCACTGAACAACAGTGTATATACACTATATCAAAACAAAACATTTCCCTCTATGACAAATGTACCATTAATCATTTATTTGTAGTGATATTCTCTTACAATTGGATACATAAAGGCAGTGAGTGAATCTTATAGGACAAGAGTTTTTTGAAAGGAATGTCTCAAATTTAAACCAAATAAACTAGACGATGGCAAAACAATAGAATCCAAGAAGAGCGATTAGTTACTGTGGTGTTCAGTTCTAACCACAGCAACTTACACAACGGAATTCAACACTGTCTAGTCCTGTGCCATCCTCACAATTGTTGTAATGTTTGAACCCAAGAATAAACCAAGAAAGCAAGTTCATTGTCTTTGAGTCTATTTGGACTCATAGTGATCCTATATAAGGTTTCTGAGGCTCTGTATTTTTATGGAAGCAGATCTTTCTTCTGTTTCAAGCACGGGCCCTGTGGTGAGCAGTGCAGAACTAAGTGACAGCTCCTTTGAACACAAGAATAGGTCATGAAAATATGAATTTTACTGAGAAACACATTTTTTCCCCTTCAAATTCTATGGCCACATATAAACTCTTGTACTTGATTTATTTCCTGACTGACCTAGAAGTTAGGAAGAAAAACTGTCTCACTACCAGGTGAGATTTTGCTTTGGAGTTGCAGAGTGCGTTATGTTACAGATTTTCAGTTTTCAGTTTCAATTCATTTTCCTACATGCGATTTCTATTGTCTTCGCATATTCCCTGAAGCCTCTCTAGATGCTGTGACAAACCTTCGAGGAACCCTGGAGGCACCGTCCAGGAAGTATTGGACCACAAGGTCAGCAGTTTAAACTCTTCAGTTGGTTCTCAGAGAAAAAAGGCTATTTAGTCCTGTAAAGATGTATAGCCTCAGATACCTTACACAAGGTCACTAACAGTCAATCAACTCAAAGACAGTGGGTATAAACTCTCCTGGAGTTACAGCAGAAAAAAAACCCGGATTCAGTAAACCAACCAATCACTAGAGTGCTGATTCTCGCACCAGCCCACTACCATCCATATAGTGCTTGGTGGTCCAAGTGGTGAAAAGGACATTTACTCTTTAAGACTCAAAAGACCAGGGATTTCATTCAATTTTTACAACTCATTAGCCAAAACATATTTTATCAAAATACTTGGTCGTTCTGAACTGGTTTACTCTTGTGTAAACATTGATATCATAGTCTCTCTTCTACCTATATTTCAGGGATGCCAAATTAAATCGTGATAATACATATAACAGTCTACTGAAAAAAATCAGAAAAATTCCATAAGAATATAAGCCCTCAGATAAATAGTGGTACATTTTGTAACTTTAGAAAAATTTAATGACTCAAAAAAAAGCAAACCACTTAAGTAATTAGTGATGAACAACACTGGTTTTAAGTTGTGTATTAATTTGAAAGATACGTGGCCAATTTCCGAGTGTTTTTAACTCATTGGCAATGATCAAACGGAAGGCCATCCACTTACTTCTGGAGCCTGAAGGGGTCTTCGCCGCTGGGAAGGAGTCAGCACTCTGCCTCGCTGCTTCAGAAGACCAACAGGGTGAAAGCATTTCCCCAGCTGATTCTGCAGGTGTTAGGCAGAAGGATGCTCCCTACTACATATCTTCTCACCATCTGGCTGAATGGTGACAGGGACTCTTCAAAGAAGATAAGCACAAACAAACAAACAAACAAAAACCGATCAAGACACACTCAGTAAGTATTCTTGAAAATTATAGTTCCTGTTAACTGATCAGCTTTAAATGACTACCAGGAATATTACTAAATAGAATTTAAATATATTTACATAATAAAAGATATATCTTGAACAATATGCTCTGATTTCAATTACTAGGGGAGCATTCTGGTAGAAGTTTTCTTCTCTCAACAATGAAGATTGCTTCAATAATTTCAAACTATATAGTTTAATTTTGTCCATATTTCAATCAACTCAAGTCTAATGTCACAAATCACATAATCCATCACCTATTTTTTACCAAACACTTGGTGTTATGGAAACAGCAATTGAAGATGCTGAAAAACTTGTACCTTCATGGAGCTAATAGTCTTATACCACATTTCCTAAAGAAAAAAATCCATCCAATACAACACACATATCTGTGTACAGAAAATATAAAGACACGAGTTTTGTACTTTAACTTCATGTCAGAATATGGTTGCTTTCTACCTCTTTTTTGAGTTTTTGAGGTAAAAATTTGTCTCTTTCCTTTAAGATCCATGCAATAGTATCAGTTATTTTTACCACTGATATTTTATAACAGAGAAGTAGAAAAATATTTTCTAAATGCTCTTAAGATAAATAGGAATTATAATTTTACTTTGGTTATAACTTACCTTAAAGATCCCTAGTGGCAATGACTAATTACCTGGCTGCTAACTAAAAAAAATCACTAGTTTGAACTCAGTTCTCTATAGGAAGAGGTTCTGTCAACCTGCTTTCTTAAAGATTACAGCATTGGGAACAAGATGGAGCTGTTCCACTCTGTCCTATGGAGGGATAATGAGTTGGAATCAGCTGGATAGCACATAATACACACATGCACATACACACACAATTTAGTTTATTTGTAGAAGGAAAAATAAGACATACTATAATTTTAAAATAAAGTAATAGATAAAGCATACATCAGATGACAGACCAAGGACGCGCCATGATTTGTAGTCTCCATTTGCAAAGGTATGGGAATGAACTGATAAGGTAAAATTTCAAGAGTAATTATATTGTTTCTAGACACCTAAAAATTCAAATTTTATATTAAAATTGGATATTAAACTATTGCCTAATTTAATAAGAATACTCACTTGTGCTAAAAATCAATGCACAGATTAACAGTAATCATCTATAAAAATAAAATTTCATATTTCAAGTAATTTACATGAATTGTAGCCTGGTGGAGATAGTGGAGTCAAGTAATGCTTTTAAAATTTGTATTTATTATAAAAGTAAGATGTTTGTTATAGAACTATAGGACAAGTATAAAATACCACAGATGATTGTATTTTACAATCAAAAAGTATTTCTACAAGATCACAGATGTTTTATTAGAGAAAAATATCAAAATTTAATTGTTTAGCAACATAATCCTTCATATAGGTCTGTCCATCCACTTCTCAAAGTGCTGTTTTCATTTCTTTAACCTTTACTTAGGAACTCTGGTGGCATAGTTGTTATGAGTTGGGCTGCAATCTGAAAGGTCAGCAGTTCAAAACCATCCGCTGTTCAGCAAGACAAAGGTGGCTTTCTACTCTTATACGCAGTTACAATCTTGGAAACACAGGAGGCAGTTCTCTCCGTCCTGTGAGCAGACATTGACTCAATGGCAGTGCGAACCTTTATTGCACAAACTAAGATGCACCTGACCAAGCTCTGGTACTTTCAATTGCCTCATACACATGTGAAAGTTGGACACTGAATAAGAAAGACCAACAACAAGCAATCAATGCATTTGAATCATGGTGCTGGTGAGGAATATTGAAAGTATTATGGACTGCAAAAAGACAAAATAGGGGTGGGGGGATAAAAAGAGGAGCTGATACCAAGGGCTCAATAGAAAGTAAATGTCTAGAAAAGAATGAAGGCAACATATGTACAAACATGCCTGATGCAATCGATGTCTGGATTGTAACAAGAGTTGTAAGAGCCCCCAATAAAATGATTTCTTCATAAAAAAGAAATACATTTGAATGTAGAATAGGGAAACTGAAACATATAAATAATGTCCAATTTGAGGGTGGAGGGAGGGTGGGATGGAAAGGGGGAACCAATTACAACAATCTACATATACCCTCTTACGTGGGGGATGGATAACAGAAAAGTGGGTGAAGGGAGACGTCGGACAGTATAAGATATGACAAAAATAATAATAATTTATAAATCATTAAGGGTTCATGAGGAAGAGGGGAGTGGGGAGGAGGGAAAGAAAAAAAATGAGGAGCTGATATGAAGGGCTCAAATAGAAAGCAAATATTTTGAGAATGATGATGGCAACAAATGTACAAATGTGCTTGACACAATGGATTTGTATGGACGTATGTATATATGTATGTGTGTATGTTATAAGAGTTGTGCGAGCCCCCAATAAAATGATTACATTAAAAAGATGTCCAATTTGAGGAGTTTAAAAAGCATTACTAGTAGGACTCTATTTAATAAACTCACGGGTTTATTCCTAACCAAATGGGTTTAAACAGATCTCTGTGATGAGTGGATGTCTGCAAATGTTTTCTTTGTAATAGACGTGTCTTCGTCTCAGTATGATGCCTTCAAATAAAAAGAGTAGTTTTCGTTACAGGGAAAAAAAATAAAAGAAAAAATAAATCTGTCTTGGAAGTACAGGCAGAAAACTCCTTCAAGGCAAGGATGGCAAGAGTGCATTTCATGTGCTTTACACGTGTTGTCAAGAGACCAGTCGCTTGAAAAGGACGTCATGCTTGGTGAAGTAAAGGATCGGCGCAAAAGAAGACCTTCATCAAGATGGACTGACACCAGGGCTGCACTTAGGGGCCCAGCCATAAAAACAACTGTGAGGATGGTACCGGGCAGGGCAATGTTTCATTCTGTTGTGCAAAGGGACAGTACCTAACAACAACAATAACACCAGCCTTTCGCTAAGGAAGTCTAGGCTCTTCAATGTACACCACATAAAAAATAGCAGTTTTGTTATCCTCAAGGGACTTAAACTGTAATGTTTTTAAATGTTCTTTGAGTTTTTGGAACAACTCTAAAACAAAATCAGAAGTGGCAAGATCAGGGATGTAGGGTGGGCAAAATAAGGTTTCCCAGGGAAATTCTCGAAGGACATTCTTTCTTAACCTTGAAGACCAAGCAGCTGCATTGACAAAAAAAAATTCATATTAAGCTTTTGTGATCATCTCATGTCCTTCTTGAACCTCTATCAAAATATTGGTTTAAAATCGCACAAAATAAGTTGCAATAACCTTCTGAATTGATCTCTGTACCTTGAACTTGATTGGCACAGCATTCCTATTGGAAGCCTGTGTTTACATTGGATCTTTTCATGATGGCAATCTATGGATCGTAAGACTGAGAAACTGGATCTGAAGCTCTCAATTGATTACAGAGACATGTTTTAAAACATTTTATTTAAAAAATACGTATACATGTATGAATTAGAATCTTAGTAGCAGTATACTTTTACTTACCTTGTTACATATGTAACTAGGAATTTAGAGTAATTGTTTGCCTTTTTCATGTGTTTCCTTCTATGCATTTAAAAATATTTTCCCATTCATATACTCATGATAGAAATACAAGAAATTCAAATATAAATATCCATCAAAGGAAGATATCCCCCTTAAATGAAATCCATTCATTTCAGAACATCGATACCAAAATAGTCTGAGCATATGTAAGCATGTGTCTCTATATGTGTGCAATCATATACTATATATATATATATATATATATATTTCTCTTCTGCCTTATTTGTTTCATTTAACATACCTTGAAAATATTCTATTTCTGTCTCCATCATCGCTCTCCAGTCTATCATGCATGTCTACCATATGCTCACAACATAATAATACATATTTTTTCATAATGATATTTTTTAAAGATGCACATTTCCAAGGTTTTGGTATTGCAAATAATATATATAATCAATGGCAATGTGTATCCATTTGTACACATGTGAGTGAATCATTGTGTAATAAATTCTTAGAAAGGAAGATCATTGTTTATGAATATTTTATTGTTCTCTCTTGTCTGTAGTAAGAACAAAAATAAATCTATATGAAATATGAAGCAGTTTTTACACTAAAGCAGTTTTGTCACAAGACATTGTTCAAACTATTATCTTAGCCAAAAGGCAAAAGAAAGATGATAACTACCAATATTTCCATCTGCTCAATCTAGCAATGAAAACAAAGTAACTGCAGCAATGCCTCCCTACGTTGCCTTCCCTCTGAGAAAGTTCTTTTTAAGTACAGCTACATGAGTTATTGGTGGAAAAATCATTCTAATAATTTTAACAAAACATACAAATACATATTACTTATCATGTTTTTATCATTGTATATGATAAATGCTTATTCCTATATTGTTACTTAAAAAGCAATGGTACAGGAAAGTTGGCTAACCTTGGGCAAAGTCAAATAGCTGGTAACTGGTAAACCTGGGGCTTGCCTGTAAAGGTATCTCACTCAAAATCAACACTAGCATATCCCATAGGGTAGCAAGTGAAAATTTCAGAAGTCATTATAGAATTTTATAGTATGGAAACCCTAAAAAATTATTTTGGTTGGGTTGTTTTGTTGTTGTTGTTATATCCCATATATTTTGGTCAATGCAAAAATCACAGTTAAAAGGTGTCAGATTTGGGGTTCTAGTACTGTAATTGCTGGTGGCCTCATGTAAAGATTTTATTTTTCTCCTCATACTATGTTAAAATGAAACATCTTACCAAAATTTTTATCAATTCCATAGTTCCAAATTTTGTTATGTTGGCCTTCTTCCACAGTCTTAGAAAATTTGGCAACTGTTATCATTTATGTACATGAATTCCCAAGAAATATGTTTCTCTCTCTAATAATTATCTTAGATGCCAATATTAAGCTCTTAAATAGAACAGGGAACCATGGGTGAAACTCGGGAAGTTATTGGGGCATATCTTTTTAG